ACCAAACATTAAGGAACCAAAACAATTATATGGGTTTAGCGACCATTGAACAAGACATCACATGTTTATGGCTCTGAAGAATGTTGGCAGGCCAAACTGTTTCTGCAGGGATCCTGAAAGTTCCAAAGCAGTTGGATTATATTGAATAGAATGTTTTCAAAATTAAAACAGAAAATGGTCTCTACAAACCAAGCAACAAGGAGTATGTTTGATAAGGTATTTTTTATGTTTGAATAGAATGGTGTACTTCATAGAAATATCCAAGTGTTATCTGACTAAATGCTTTCAATTCTTTTTGATTTCTGTTTATTGTGTTGGGATAGGTTTGATGAGATGGCGTCTGAACTGTAGAATTTGATTAGCTAGTGAGCTCTTCAAGGGAAAATGAAAGCAAAGGCAATGTTGGCTGCTGTGTAGCTATACTTTGCCAGTGATTTACAGTCTGAAAGGAAGTATTTCAGGGATTGACATAAAGTCTGAAAGGCACTTGCCCATTGGGGCAAATCAGGAGCATTTTTTGGTTGCCCGAAGATTATGATCACTTGCCTGAAGAATGTAAATTAGCTATTTACACGCAAAAGTGCCATACCGTATATTGCCTGCCTTTCACCTACACATAGGGGAGGAATCAGAAAGATCAGTACTGGAATTCTTTGTATTTTTGTTATGTTACAGCCTTATTTTTAAATGGATTAAATACATTTTTTCCCTCATCAATCTACACACAATACCCCATAATGACAAAGTGAAAACAGGTTTTTAGATTTTGTTGCATAAAAAAAATATATATATATATATAAACCTTATTTACATAAGTAATCAGACCCTTTGCTATGAGACTCGAAATTTAGCTCAGGTGCATCCTGTTTCCATTGATCATCCTTGAGATGTTTCTACAACTTGATTGGAGTCCACCAGTGGTGAATTATATTGATTGGACATGATTTGGAAAGGCACACTCCTGTCTATATAAGGTCCCACAGTTGACAGTGCATGTCAGAGCAAATACCAAGCCATGATGTCGAAGGACTTGTCCGTAGAGCTCCGAGACAAGATTGTGTCGAGGCACAGATCTGGGGAAGGTTAACAAATACATTTCTACAGCATTGAAGGTCCCCAAGAAGACAGTGGCCTCCATCATTCTTAAATGGAAGAAGTTTGGAACCACCAAGACTCTTCCTAGACCTGGCTGCCCGGCCAAACTGGGCAATCGGAGGAGAAGGGCCTTGGTCAGAGAGGTGTTCAAGAACCCGATGGTCAATCTGACAGAGCTCCAGAGTACCTCTGTGGAGATGGGAGAAGCTTCCAGAAGGACAACCATCTCTGCAGCACTCCACCAATTAGGCTTTTATGGTACAGTGGCCAGACAGCCCGCTTGGAGTTTGCCAAAAGGCACCTAAAGGACTCTCAGACCAAGAGAAACAAGATTCTCTGGTCTGATGAAACCAAGATTGAACTCTTTGGCCTGAATGCCAAGGTTCAAGTCTGGTGGAAACCTGGCAACATCCCTACGGTGAAGGATGGTGGTGGCAGCATCATGCTGTGGGGATGTTTTTCAGCGGCAGGTACTGGGAGACTAGTCAGGATCGAGGGAAAGATGAATGTAGCAAAGTACAGAGAGATCCTTGATGAAAACCTGCTCCAGAGTGCTCAGGACCTCAGACTGGGGCGAAGGTTCACCTTCCAACAGGACAACGACCCTAAGCACAAAGCCAAGACAACGCAGGAGTGGCTTCGGGACAAGTCTCTGAATGTCTTTGAGTGGCCCAGCCAGAGCCCGGACTTGAACCCGATCAAACTTCTCTGGAGAGACCTGAAAATAGCTGTGCAGCAACACACCCCATCCAACCTGACAGAGCTTGAGAGCATCTGCAGAGAAGAATGGGAGAAACTCCCCAAATACGTGTGCCAAGCTTGTAGTGTCATACCCAAGAAGACTCGAGGCTGTAATCACTGCCAAAGGTGCTTCAACAAAGTACTGAGTAAAGGATCTGAATATTTATGTAAATGTTATATTTCTGTTTTTTTTTTTTTTATACATTTGCAAACATTTCTAAAAAATAGTTTTTGCTTTGTCATTATGGGATATTGTGTGTGGATTGATGAGGAAAAAAACTATTTAATCCATTTTAGAATAAGGCTGTAACGTAACATAATGTGGAAAAAGTCAAGGTCGGAATACTTTCCGTAGATTGATGAGGTGGAAAAAAAACTATTTAATCCATTTTAGAAGAAGGCTGTAACAAAAGGCTACTGGAATTCTTTGCAGTTTGGTTGTTTTCCGTTTTTTAAAATCACCTGCCCAAATGGGCAACCTACCATGTGACAAATAACGTTTCATTTGATTTGATTTGAACCTGTGTGTCTGGACAGAGAAGAGCTGTGTAGTTGTGTTAAAGTGTTACAGACTTTCCTTGGACCAGCTCTACCATGCAGAGATAATCCCTTTAGTGTTTTATTCTGGTCCTCTGGACCGCTCCAGCGCCCTGGCACCATCACAGGAGGGTAATAGGCAGTACAGTACAGTACCACGAGACCGGGCTAAACCCGACCAGACCAGAGACACACACTCTATCTGTCAGCAGGCACTAGACAGAAAGGAATTGGCTTACATTAAATTCACCTGTTCTATTCTAAATATTTTAGAAGTAGGCTGTAACGTAACAAAATGTGGAAAAAGTCAAGGGGTCTGAATACTTTCTGAATGCACTGTATCTAGAAAAGAATAAGATCAGTTTTAGGCTACTGGGATTCTTTGCAGTTTGGTTGTTTTTACTTTTTTAAATCACCTGCCCAAATGGGCAACCTCCCAGCACGCTCAACTAGCATGACTACTCAGTTCACTTGCCCCAGGTAATAGGACAACCCTTCCTTCATGTCAATCCCTGCTATGCCTATGGTATAAGGGCACTGTGTTTCTGTTTCAACTGTGAGAGAGTTTGCATTGTTAAACAGTGTCATGTAAAGATAGGACTATTGAGGAGAAAACCTACTATAGCTGTGGCCAGCTGTCTGAACTGTGGACACACACACACACACACAAAGCCGTTGACAGAGTTAGGCCTACACCTCAGTACCGCTGCCTTACCATCCCTTTTCATTTCTTTAGTCATTGTGGGGAATGAGAAGTGGAGGTGAGGTGGGGTGGGGTGAGGTAGGGTGAGGTGAGGTGGGGTGAGGTAGGGTGAGATGAGGGTGAGGTGAGGTGGGGTGAGATGGGGTGAGGTAAGGTGAGGTGGAGTGAGGTGAGGTGGGGTGAGGTGTGGTGAGGTGAGGTGGGGTGAGGTGGGGTGAGGTAGGGTGAGGTGGGGTGAGGTGAGGTGTGGTGAGATGGGGTGAGTTGAGGTAAGGTGTGGTGAGATGGGGTGAGGTGAGATGGGGTGGGGTGTGGTGGGGTGCGGTGCGGTGAGGTGAGGTGTGGTGGAGTGAGGTGAGGTGGAGTGAGGTGGGGTGAGGTAGGGTGAGGTGAGGTGGAGTGAGGTGGAGTGAGGTGAGGTGGGGTGAGGTAAGGTGTGGTGAGGTGTGGTGTGGTGAGATGGGGTGAGGTGGGGTGAGGTGGGGTGTGGTGGGGTGCGGTGAGGTGGGGAGAGGTGAGGTGTGGTGTGGTGGGGTGAGGTGCGGTGGGGTGAGGTGTGGTGGGGTGAGGTGAGGTGAGGTAGGGTTTGGTGGGGTGTGGTGTGGTGAGGGGGGGTGAGATGGGATGTGGTGGGGTAAGGTGAGGTAGGGTGGGGTGGGGTGAGGTGGGGTGGGGTGGGGTTGGGTGAGAGATCTAGGGGTTGGCTGATCACCAGATGAATGACCTTTGGTTCACCTGTTAGCCTGTGCTCTCTTCCTTCTGTTCCACATAACCATGTGCAGTCACTGGGTTCATTTGCATACATCATTACCCTCATATGGTACCATTACTTTATCAGAGATATTATTCAAAGTATTTCAACTGTCATTCATGGAGGATAATGTTCTTGAGAGCCAGTAGAGTATATAGGGAACATCCACTGAATAGATACAGTATGTGTCACGACTTCCTCCGAAGCTGCCTCCCCTCCTTGTTCGGGAAGGCTTCGGCGTTCGTCGTCACCGGCCTTCTAGCCACTGCCCTCCATATCTCATCATTCCATTTGTCTTGTCTTGTCAATTACACACACCTGGTTCATATTCCCCTCATTAGTACATGTATAAGTGTTCCCTCTGTCCCCTTGTCCTTGTGGGTGATTGTTTCATGTGAGATGAGTGTAGCATCGGTGGAGCTACCTGTACGTTGTATTGCCAGGGTATATTTTCCCTGTGTGCTTGTATTTGTTCCAGTGCGCCTGTTTTGCGCACTGGACTGTTGACACTATCCAGCGTAACTGTGTACTACGCAATCAACTCTGTATTCTGTGATTTACCCTCCTGGGCCTGACTCCTTCAAATCACACTCTCACAGTATGTCTGTAAAATGGGGAGATAACTGCTGTGTTTGTTTGAGGGGAACCTCGTTATTGTTATTTTATTGTGTTACTTTTGATAATTGTTTTACTTTAGTTTATTTGGTAAATATTTTCTTAACTCTTTCTTGAACTGCATTGTTGATTAAGGGCTTGTAAGTAAGCATTTCACGGTAAGCTCTACTCCTGTTTTATTCGGCGCATGTGACAAATACAGTTTGATTTGATTTGAACCTGTGGGTCTGGACAGAGAAGAGCTGTGTAGTTGTGTTAAAGTGTTACAGACTTTCCTTGGACCAGCTCTACCATGCAGAGATAATCCCTTTAGTGTTTTATTCTGGTCCTCTGGACCGCTCCAGCGCCCTGGCACCATCACAGGAGGGTAATAGGCAGTACAGTACAGTACCACGAGACCGGGCTAAACCCGACCAGACCAGAGACACACACTCTATCTGTCAGCAGGCACTAGACAGAAAGGAATTGGCTTACATTAAATTCACCTGTTCTATTCTAAGCATTATTTTTTAAATCCCCACATTTTCATATTTTTAAAAGAACACATTGTGATAATGTCTGACGGTCCTCTCCTCTCTCCTTCTTTAGGATGACGTTTCCCAGAGGCCCCAGTAAGGCACGTCCTGTCCATTCCCCTGTGTAGTGGTCCCCTCTGGCAGAGGACTGCTTTCGACCTGCAGACACTTTCACTGCTCAATGGCATACACAGACACTGGGTGAGATAGGAGTACAGACGGTAGCCAAAAGGAGAAAATATCCCTTTCTTACAGCACGCTCCTTCTCCCCCACAGTCCTCCCGTCTCCCAGGCCCTTCTATCCCTCTCAGAGAGCCCCTCCCTGTGGCCATGCCCATCCTGCTCAATGCCGACGTCTCCTTCAGCTCCAAGCAGGAGCTCCTGGACCTCCAGGACGGACCTATGGGCCCCTGCCTAGAGACACCCAGCCCACTGGACTCTCAGGAGGATAGCCCAGTGGGTTCAGGCCCTGGCAGCCCCGCAGGAAACGGCCCCGCTAGCCGCATCATCCTCACCGGGGCTGCTACGCCACTGCCTGGACAGCTTTACATGGGCGAGGTACCTGCGGAGACCCCGCTGGGCCTCACATTCATCCCCACAGACTCAGAAGGGCTGTGTGGCTGGGGGGCCCTGACGCCCCGAGTCATCCAGACTTTCAACACCCCTCGCTGGGTACTGTTCTTCCTGTGTGTGGCCTCCTTCCTCCAGGGCATGATTATCAACGGCTTCATCAACACCGTGGTGACCTCAATAGAGAGACGCTTTGACCTGCGCAGCTACCAGACGGGGCTCATCGCCAGCTCCTACGACATCGCTGCCTGTGTGTGCCTGGCCTTTGTCAGTTACTTTGGTGGGACGGGGCACAAGCCTCGCTGGCTGGGCAGTGGGGTGCTGGTTATGGCGCTGGGATCTCTGGTGTTCGCCCTGCCCCACTTCACCACTCCCCCGTACCAGGTAAGCATGCCCGAGCGGACAGGGGTGTGCACGGGGAACCATACCAGCCCGTGCCATGAGAGGGAGGGCGGGAGCCTGTCCAGCTACCGCTTTGTCTTCATGCTGGGCCAGTTCCTGCATGGGGTGGGAGCAACGCCCCTCTACACTCTGGGGGTCACCTACCTGGACGAGAACGTCAAGTCCAGCTACGCTCCAGTGTACATCGGTGAGTCACTAAGCACAACACTCTTTGACCGTTGTTCTGATCTTTTTCTGATACGTTTTTGTATTTCCTACACTGTTCATATTTATTCATGTGGTGCATATCTTTGTCATCCACTAGAGAAAAGTTTCCATTGTTTTTAATAATGTTACAATGTTTCCTTTAAACGTAAGTGTACCGTGTCAAAGGAAATGTGTTCTGCAGATCATGGCTTACTTGATTTGCAGATGGTGTAGACTATCGTCCAAATACTCTTCTTCTTCCTGTGCTGGCTTTGTTTTTGGCGGCTGACTGATACCCTGTGTGAATTATAACGAGGTGGTTTCTTCTGCATTAGGCGTGTGTGGGTGGTCCGAGACCACAGAGTGACACAGCAGCAGTAACCAGAATGCTGTGAGACTCGTCAGACGAGGGGGGAATGACAGGAAACAGGATGTGGGGATGTGAGCATAGTCTGATTCACTGGTGTGATGGTCATTAGGCTTACCCATGAGATGTCACTTGGCCGAGAATGACTCACGAAAGACACGTGTTAGATGTGAAATCATACGTGTAGTGAGGATTGTATCTAATGGCTCAGAATGGCAGGATTGAACTCTAAAACAATGACAGACTGTTACACCCCTGTTGATTGAGCTTGGATGTTGATTACAATTGTTCAACTTGGATGTGGGTAACATTATGTCATTTTGTCTCCAACTGAATTTCAGCAGACAAGCCACAGAAACCCCCGCTACATCTGTTCCCTATTGACCTGCCATCAAGGAGGATCAATGTCACATCCAGAATCAGGCCTACAATTTTGACCCTCTCAGGCTCCCTTATACCTCCCATCTTTCCATTCAGCAGTTTCACCACAAACATCAATAATATGCCCTTGAATTGTGCCTCTCACCTGCTATTCTCATTTCTATGGCAACAGAGGCAATAGAAGACAATCGCCACTTCACTGACTCCAGTGAGAACTCAGTGAATGGACTCAGTCTGTCTCTGTGTTATCAATCAAAATAAACAACACAGATGAAAACCAAACCATCAAAAATGAGGTCTTTTAACCAAGTTGAGGAAGGAACAATGAGGTCTTTTAACCAAGTTGAGGAAGGAACAATGAGGTCTTTTAACCAAGTTGAGGAAGGAACAATGAGGTCTTTTACATTTTTTTTGTCATTTAGCAGATGCTCTTATCCAGAGCGACTTAGTGAGTGCATATATTATTTTATTTTTTTCATACTGGCCCCCTATGGGAAACGAACCCACAACCCTGGCGTTGCAAACGCCATGCTCTACCAACTGAGCTACATCCCTGCCAGCCATTCCCTCCCCTACCCTGGGCCAATTGTGCGCCGCCCCATGGGTCTCCCGGTCGCGGCCGGCTACGACAGAGCCTGGATTCGAACCAGGACCTCTAGTGGCACAGCTAGACCACTGCGCCACTCGGGAAAGCACCGTTTAGACAGGAACAATGAGGTCTTTTAACCCGTTTGAGGGGAAGTAAGTAGTCCCTAACTGACGCAGCTCTCCTCTGGTCTCTGTCTGTCTGTCTCCTCAGGGATCTTCTATACAGCAGCCATCGTGGGTCCAGCAGCAGGGTACCTCCTAGGAGGATACTTCCTCAACATCTACACAGAGGTCCACATGACGTGAGTACCTCCGTCTGTCCATAGAGGTCCACATGACGTGAGTACCTCCGTCTGTCCATAGAGGTCCACATGACGTGAGTACCTCCGTCTGTCCATAGAGGTCCACATGACGTGAGTACCTCCGTCTGTCCATAGAGGTCCACATGACGTGAGTACCTCCATCTATCTGTCTGTCTCCACCTACCATACACCTGGACTCAGCTCAGAGGAACAGCTCCTTAATCTGTCAGTACTTACCGTATCTGAATCAGCTGGACCCGGAGACTGTATAAAAATGGTTTCACCTTAAAAGGAGAAATGCCTTCCTACAGATATACAATAGTACCCTCTAGAGGCCATTCTACAGATATTGAATAGTACCCTCTAGTGGTCATTTGCAGTGTAACATTTACTTAATTATTGGAAATCTCACACTCTTTGTCCTCTTCTTCATGTCTTCTTCTGTGCCTCCTCCCTGTGTGTAGGACAGAGCTGACTCCAGAGAACCCTCTGTGGGTAGGGGCCTGGTGGATTGGCTTCCTGGCAGGAGGAGCCGCAGCACTGGTCATCGCCCTGCCCATCCTGGGCTACCCACGCCAACTACCAGGTTACTGACCAACTTACTGTCACTTCACCAGCACCACAAAACAGAACACTTCCCAATCAGATCAGCAACTAACGCAGTCTTTGACATCAACATATATATATCTGGATTTCGCCCTTCTCTCTCCAGGCTCTCAGAAGTATGTGGCCATGCGTGTGTCTGAGGCCCATCAGCTGAAAGATGGCAGTCAGGCCAGTGCAGCAGACCCTCAGTTTGGGAAGTCAGTGAAAGACATGCCTAGGTACAGTAGGTGACTCTATGATACAAGAGGAACCATGCCTTCCACTCTACTTCTCTACCAATTAACTCTCACACCATGAGACGGAGATCAGCTATTCACATTTTAAAGGCAATGTTTCCGCATTCACAGTAAATGCGACATATGTCGGCTCAATGTCAATCGCGCTATAGCACGGATCTTCCGCGGTCCGGATTGAATCTAGGCCTTAAATAAGATAGTGTTGTTATCCTTCCATGCATAGTCGCTGTGTTTATTATGGCTCCATTTAGACTGGTTCTCCATGGCAATGGGGGATTACTGAGAGGAAACAGGACACAGATTACATAGTGTTATATAACATGGTAGTAAAGTATCTCAGAGTAGGAGGGCTGATCTAGGATCTCTGTCCAAATAAACTTACACTCTTAGAAAAAAGGTTAAAAAAGGGTTCTGCTGCTGTCCTCATAGGAGAACGCTTTTTAGTTCCAGGTAGAACCCTTTTTGGTTCCAAGTATAACTCTGTTGGGTTCCATGTAGAGCCCTCTGTTGAAAGGGTTCTACATGGAACCCAAAAGGGTTCTACCTGGAACCAAAAGTGGTTCTTCAAAGGGTTCTCCTATGGGGACAGCCGAATAACCCTTTTTGGTTCTAGATACCACCAAGAGTGTGTTCATATACAGTATATCTAAAAGGCTAAATGGGCCCAGGTCTTAGTGTTAGAGATTATGGATGAGCCTTACTTTAATTAAGAACAGAATATCTTACTAAAGAAATAACCCTGTTCACTCTCTCTCTCTCTCTCTCTCTCTCTCTCTCTCTCTCTCTCTCTCTCTCTCTCTCTCTCTCTGTCACTCTCTCTCTGTCACTCTCTCTCTGTCACTCTCTCTCTCCATCTCTCTCTCTCTCTCCAGGTCAGTGTTGCTTCTGCTGAAAAACCCTCCCTTCCTCTTCCTGTGTCTGGCGGGGGCCACAGAGGCCACCCTCATCGCTGGCATGTCCACCTTCGGCCCCAAGTTCCTAGAGTCTCAGTTCAGCCTGAGTGCATCTGAGGCAGCCATCTGGTTTGGTGAGAGAGCATCAGAACACCAACACAACCAGGCTCTAATAGCCTACAGTTTCCTTGGCATCTTTGTATTCATTATTGTGATAGGCTCATGTTTAACTGGTACGGCATACCATCACTATTTATTTTGCTGGTACTCCGTACCGCTGGTACTCCGTACCGGACCTTACCGGCTTACTTTCACCCCTGCATGCACCGGCAAAATAAATAGTTGCTGTATGCCGTACCTGTTGAACTTGAGCCTATCACAATAATTCACACAAAGATGCCAAGGAAACTGTAGGCTATTTACACTACTATTTATCATTAGCGCATGTCAGTCGCATATCTTTTTTTCAAATTGACTTGAAAACTTGTGGAATACGCTCCATACATCTGGTGTGGTTCAACGATAAAAGTTACATTTTGTGAAGGCAGAGATGAGTGGCCAAGACGCGCACAACAGCTGTGGGCGCATCAATTCAGGTTTCAAGTGTAGGCCTAATCATTAGACTTTTTGGTGTTTTGTAACAGATGTCTCTTTCCATTCATCAAATGGTGGATGCACAGTGCACTGTACGAATGCAGAAATGACTTTAGAGGAGATGTACATGCGCAGGTATCCCGTCTTACAGGAGCCTATTGAAGTGATTGTTTGACAATCAGATGAAAACATCATGACTGGTTGTGTTTATGCCACATTAAAAGGTAATATATTTTAAAAGTAAAATGACAAATCTTTACTGTTAGGCCCACAGGGATCCTGCTAAATTAACAGGGATGTAATTCTATTCATAAAGAAAAAAACAATTGGTCACCTACCAGGAATATATTACATCTAGTTTCACCCCTGAGTGCATGTGACATATAAGAAACCCTACCTCTCATGGGGTGTTTTCACGTATGACATTCTCTGATTCGGTTTCCCGAAGCATTTGTGAGAATTCTACAGAATTATTTGTACTTTCGCAAGACCTGAAAATATCCACTTCAAGATGTGAGATGCACATTCTACATGACGTTAGCGAGCTAGCTTGTTTACAATGGGGGGGGGAAGTTCCATGCGACTCACGCTGCCACGTCACAATACCTGGTACTCTGGATCTTGGACCCGTATTCGTTTCAGCCAGGGTTTGTTTGCGTTTCAGCCATCCTGTATAGCGTGGATCAGGGTACTTAATGCTTCAGGATCTGGATCATACAGGGGATATGTGAAAGCACCCTTAGTCACAGTACTACTATTTAGCTAGTTATGCCTCCATCCTCATCCATCCTCATCCCTCACATACACATGGTATTAACCTTCCCTCTCCTCCCACCAGGCTACATGGTATTAACCTTCCCTCTCCTCCCACCAGGCTACATGGTACTAACCTTCCCTCTCCTCCCACCAGGCTACATGGTATTAACCTTCCCTGTCCTCCCACCAGGCTACATGGTACTAACCCTCCCTCTCCCCCCACCAGGCTACATGGTATTAACCTTCCCTCTCCTCCCACCAGGCTACATGGTACTAACCTTCCCTCTCCTCCCACCAGGCTACATGATATTAACCCTCCCTCTCCTCCCACCAGGCTACATGATATTAACCCTCCCTCTCCTCCCACCAGGCTACATGGTATTAACCCTCCCTCTCCCCCCACCAGGCTACATGGTATTAACCTTCCCTCTCCTCCCACCAGGCTACATGGTATTAACCTTACCTCTCCTCCCACCAGGCTACATGGTACTAACCTTCCCTCTCCCCCCACCAGGCTACATGGTACTAACCTTCCCTCTCCTCCCACCAGGCTACATGGTACTAACCTTCCCTCTCCTCCCACCAGGCTACATGGTGGTGCCTGCGGGCGGAGGGGGCACTTTCCTGGGCGGCTACATCGTGAAGAAGCTGAACCTACGTTGCCGTGGCATCATTAGGTTCTGCATGGTGTGTGCGCTCATCAGTCTACTGGCCATATTCATCTTCCTCATCCACTGTCCCAACATCCCCATGGCCGGGGTGACTTCCCCCTACCGCAGCAACCTGCCACCGGGCCATCAGTACAACAAGGAGTACAATGAACAGTACTATGAGCAAGCCAACAACCTCCGCAACAGGTAAGCCCAGACCAGGCCCGGTGGAGAGACCATCTGTGTCAATTAGAAGGAATATTTGACATTATTTCGTCATACCTATTATTTTGAGTACAAAGGAGTGGAATGTTAGCTGAACAGACTGGTAGGGCTGTGACGGTCATGGAATTTTGCATGGCGGTAATTGGCAAGCCAAATGGCCACGGTCTCCATAATAACCGTTCGAATAGCAAAAAAATAATTAAAATAAAATAATTATAACTATATACAGTACCAGTCAAAAGTTTGGACACACCTACTCATTCAAGGGTTTTTCTTTATTTTTACTATTTTCTACATAGTAGAATAATCAAAACAATGAAATAACACATATGGAATCATGTAGTAACCAAACAAGTGTTAAACAAATCAAAATATATTTTATATTTGAGATTCTTCAAATAGCCACCCTTTACGTTGATGACAGCTTTGCACACTCTTGGCATTCTCTCAACCAGCTTCACCTGCAATGCTTTTCCAACAGTCTTGAAGGAGTTCCCACATATGCTGAGCACTTGTTGGCTGCTTTTCCTTCACTCTGCCGTCCGACTCATCCCAAACCATCTCAATTGGGTTGAGGTCAGGGGATTGTGGAGGCCAGGTCATCATGTTGCAGCACTCCATCACTCTCCTTCTTGATAAAATAGCCCTTACACAACCTGGAGGTGTGTTGGGTCATTGTCCTGTTGAAAAACAAGTGATAGTCCCACTAAGCCCAAACCAGATGGGATGGCGTTTCGCTGCAGAATGCTGTGGTAGCCATGCTGGTTAAGTGTGCCTTGAATTCTAAATAAATCACAGACAGTGTCACCAGCAAAGCACCCCCACACCATAACACCTCCTCCTCCATGCTTTACGGTGGGAACTACAAATGCGGAGATAATCCGTTCACCCACACTGCGTCTCACAAAGACACGGCGGTTGGAACCAAAAATCTCAAATTTGGACTCCAGACCAAAGGACACATTTCCACTGGTCTAATGTCCATTGCTACTGTTTCTTGGCCGAAGCAGGTCTCTTCTTCTTATTGATGTCCTTTAGTAGTAGTTTATTTGCAGCAATTTGACCATGAAGGCCTGATTCACACAGTCCCCTCTGAACAGTTGATGTTGAGATTTGTGTGTGACTTGAACTCTGTGAAGCATTTATTTGGGCTGCTATTTCTAAGGCTGGTAACTCTAATGAACTTATCCTCTGCAGCAAAGGTAACTCTGGGTCTTCCATTCCTGTGGTGGTCCTCATGAGAGACAGTTTCATCATAGCACTTGATGGTATTTGCGACTGCACTTGAAGAAACTTTCAAAGTTCTTGAAATGTTCTGTATTGACTGACCTTCATGTCTTAAAGTAATGATGGACTGTCGTTTCTCTTTGCTTATTTGAGCTGTTCTTGACACAATATGGACTTGGTCTTTTACCAAATAGGGCTATCTTCTGTATACCCCCCCTTGTCACAACACAACTGATTGGCTCAGATACATTAAGAAGGATAGACATTCCACACATTAACATTTAAGGAACGCACACCTGTTCATTGAATGCATTCCAGGTGACTACCTTGTGAAGCTGGTTGAGAGAATGCCAAGAGTGTGCAAAGCTGTCATCAAGGCAAAGGGTGGCTACTTTGAAGAATCTAAAATAAAAAGTTTGTTGTTGTTTAACACTTTTTTGGTTACTACCTGATTCTATATGCGTTATTTCATCGTTTTGATGTCTTCACTATTGTTCTACAATGTAGAAAATAGTAAAAGTAAAGAAAAACCCTTGAGTGAGTTGGTGTGTCCAAACTTTTAACTGGTACTATATCTATATACAGTGGGGAAAAAAGTATTTAGTCAGCCACCAATTGTGCAAGTTCTCCCACTTAAAAAGATGAGAGAGGCCTGTAATTTTCATCATAGGTACACGTCAACTATGACAGACAAATTGAGATTTGTTTTTCTCCAGAAAATCACATTGTAGGATTTTTTATGAATTTATTTGCAAATTGTGGTGGAAAATAAGTATTTGGTCACCTACAAACAAGCAAGATTTCTGGCTCTCACAGACCTGTAACTTCTTCTTTAAGAGGCTCCTCTGTCCTCCACTCGTTACCTGTATTAATGGCACCTGTTTGAACTTGTTATCAGTATAAAAGACACCTGTCCACAACCTCAAACAGTCACACTCCAAACTCCACTATGGCCAAGACCAAAGAGCTGTCAAAGGACACCAGAAACAAAATTGTAGACCTGCACCAGGCTGGGAAGACTGAATCTGCAATAGCTAAGCAGCTTGGTTTGAAGAAATCAACTGTGGGAGCAATTATTAGGAAATGGAAGACATACAAGACCACTGATAATCTCCCTCGATCTGGGGCTCCACGCAAGATCTCACAAGAACGGTGAGCAAAAATCCCAGAACCACACGGGGGAACCTAGTGAATGACCTGCAGAGAGCTGGGACCAAAGTAACAAAGCCTACCATCAGTAACACACTACGCCGCCAGGGACTCAAATCCTGCAGTGCCAGACGTGTCCCCCTGCTTAAGCCAGTACATGTCCAGGCCCGTCTGAAGTTTGCTAGAGTGCATTTGGATGATCCAGAAGAGGATTGGGAGAATGTCATGTGGTCAGATGAAACCAAAATATAACTTTTTGGTAAAAACTAAACTCGTCGTGTTTGGAGGACAAAGAATGCTTTCATCCAAAGAACACCATACCTACTGTGAAGCATGGGGGTGGAAACATCATGCTTTGGGGCTGTTTTTCTGCAAAGGGACCAGGACGACTGATCCGTGTAAAGGAAAGAATGAATGGGGCCATGTATCGTGAGATTTTGAGTGAAAACCTCCTTCCATCAACAAGGGCATTGAAGATGAAATGTGGCTGGGTCTTTCAGCATGACAATGATCCCAAACACACTGCCCGGGCAACGAAGGAGTGGCTTCGTAAGAAGCATTTCAAGGTCCTGGAGTGGCCTAGCCAGTCTCCAGATCTCAACCCCATAGAAAATCTTTGGAGGGAGTTGAAAGTCTGTGTTGCCCAGCGACAGCCCCAAAACATCACTGCTCTAGAGGAGATCTGCATGGAGGAATGGGCCAAAATACCAGCAACAGTGTGTGAAAACCTTGTGAAGACTTACAGAAAACGTTTGACCTGTGTCATTGCCAACAAAGGGTATATAACAAAGTATTGAGAAACTTTTGTTATTGACCAAATACTTATTTTCCACCATAATTTGCAAATAAATTAATAAAAAATCCTACAATGTTATTTTCTGGATTTTTTTTCCTCATTTTGTCTGTCATAGTTGACGTGTACCTATGATGAAAATTACAGGCCTCTCTCATCTTTTTAAGTGGGAGAACTTGCACAATTGGTGGCTGAATAAATACTTTTTTCCCCCGCTGTATATAGTTATTATTGTACGCACATTTTCTCCTTTCCTCCACTCCTGACCGCATCTGCTGCCATAGAAATGGAATGAATAGAACGGGCGTCCCCATTCAAGTCAATGATGTGGCTAGATGGGAGTACAGCTACAACCAGAATTTACTTTTCGTAGCAGGTTAGGAGAGCATTTTAGCTAACCCTAACCCTTTTCCTAACCTTAACCTAACTAAGTCTTCTAACCTGCCATCTTAATTATCCTAACCTGCTACGTAAAAGTAACTTCCGGTCATAGCTGTACTCCCTGTAGTCAGAATCTCAATGTGTGTCCGTATCTCCCCCTGAGTGTACCCATAGGAGCACAGCTAGAAGTAAAAGCCAGGTTGAAGATGGAAAGGTTTAAGGCAACGTAATAATTCCATACGGAAGCGTTCGAAAATAAACAGATTCATGGGACCAGCACCGTTGCTGGATTGTACAGGATTAGCAGTGAAAACGTGACCAGCGGTCAGGAAATCCACGAATAAAGTGTCTGTAAATAATTGTTTAAACGTCTAAATGAATAGAATGACAGTAAAGCAGTTATGCTATGTTTTCACTGAGTAGTTAGCTGAAATTCACTATGATTGTGTTTCTTTTTCACTCTGATGGTTAACTTTCTGTGCTGCTACCATTCACTCCCAGTCATTCCAAATGCGGAAGCTGGTCCCTTGTTGAATAGTGGCGCAAGGAGTCATGGGATAACCTGTATATTTTGAACCTAGAGTGTACCCACCAATATGTGCTGTGATTTCAACTCCGCTGACATTACAAAAAACACATGACATTGCATGAGCCACATCAGTTAACATCATTTGAATTAACATTCTACATTACCATGGAAAATATTGCATCACAATACCAGGCAGCCATTGTGAGTGTACCTATGAGTTTCCCAGTCAAATTGCCAGGGTTAGAGGTTCCAAGCCCATTCTATTCATTGTTTGCTAGAACACCTTGCTTGTTTCAGCAAGGGGAAACAAAGTTATCACGTTGCTAAGAGTACATGTTATCGCCGATAAAAAAATAAAAAAATTAAATGTTTATGACGGTTATTTTATTTTCCTGCCGGTCTTCATCCAACACCGTCGGTTACACGGTTGTACGTAATTGTGGCAACCCTACAGACTGGTGCACAGGGGGACCGACTAGAACTATGACACAGTATAATACTACTGCATACAGAGAGAGATATTGATCATGGATGTCATACATAAACAACCTTTCAACTCTATTTCTCTCTCTCTCTCTTTCTTTCTCTCTCAGCTCTTGGTTGGGGGACAACCTGACGGTGGGCTGTAATGCAGACTGTCACTGTTTACGAGAGCTCTATAACCCAGTGTGTGGAGCTGACGGTGTGATGTATTACTCCCCCTGCCACGCAGGCTGCAGAACAATCAACCACACAGAGGTCTCCACAGGCAGACAGGTAGCCAACCAACCCTTCAGCAAAGATCTCACTATGATTACAGCTGTAATTGTTAAAAAATCGATAGGCAGGACAGAATCTGTGTAACAGGTCTACTGTCTGTGTTAGATGTGTGTTAAATGAGGATAAATTAAATAAATGAGTTAAATGAGATACAATAGTTAATGAAGATGAACGATTGGAAGTCAGTATACATGTTGACTCTGTCCCTTCTGTATGGTGTCCCTGGTCAGGTGTACTCTGGCTGCAGCTGTGTGGTGGAGGGGAACGTCACGTTGGGGCAGGACGGTCTGGCTCTGGATGGGAAGTGCACCAGCTCCTGTAGTCACATGCCAGCCTTCCTCACCTTCCTCTTCATCGTCATCTCCTTCACCTTCCTGTGTAGTATCCCTGCCCTCACTGCTACCCTCAGGTGGGTACAGACCCTAACCCTCACTGCTACCCTCAGGTGGGTACAGACCCTAACCCTCACTGCTACCCTCAGGTGGGTACAGACCCTAACCCTCACTGCTACCCTCAGGTGGGTACAGACCCTAACCCTCACTGCTACACTCAGCTGGGTACAGACCCTAACCCTCACTGCTACACTCAGCTGGGTACAGACCCTAACCCTCACTGCTACCCTCAGGTGGGTACAGACCCTAACCCTCACTGCTACCCTCAGGTGAGTACAGACCATAACCCTCACTGCTACACTCAGCTGGGTACAGACCCTAACCCTCACTGCTACCCTCAGGTGGGTACAGACCCTAACCCTCACTGCTACCCTCAGGTGAGTACAGACCATAACCCTCACTGCTACACTCAGCTGGGTACAGACCCTAACCCTCACTGCTACCCTCAGGTGAGTACAGACCATAACCCTCACTGCTACACTCAGCTGGGTACAGACCCTAACCCTCACTGCTACACTCAGCTGGGTACAGACCCTAACCCTCACTGCTACACTCAGCTGGGTACAGACCCTAACCCTCACTGCTACCCTCAGGTGGGTACAGACCCTAACCCTCACTGCTACCCTCAGCTGGGTACAGACCCTAACCCTCACTGCTACCCTCAGGTGGGTACAGACCCTAACCCTCACTGGCACCCTCAGGTGAGTACAGACCATAACCCTCACTGCTACCCTCAGCTGGGTACAGACCCTAACCCTCACTGCTACCCTCAGCTGGGTACAGACCCTAACCCTCACTGCTACCCTCAGGTGGGTACAGACCCTAACCCTCACTGGCACCCTCAGGTGGGTACAGACCCTAACCCTCACTGCTATCCTCAGGTGGGTACAGACCCTAACCCTCACTGCTACCCTCAGCTGGGTACAGACCCTAACCCTCACTGCTACCCTCAGGTGGGTACAGAACCTAACCCTCACTGCTACCCTCAGCTGGGTACAGACCCTAACCCTCACTGCTACCCTCAGGTGGGTACAGAACCTAACCCTAACCCTCACTGCTACCCTCAGGTGGGTACACACCCTAACCCTCACTGCTACCCTCAGGTGGGTACAGACCCTAACCCTCACTGCTACCCTCAGCTGGGTACAGAACCTAACCCTCACTGCTACCCTCAGCTGGGTACAGAACCTAACCCTCACTGCTACCCTCAGCTGGGTACAGACCCTAACCCTCACTGCTACCCTCAGGTGGGTACAGACCAGACAGTCAAAAGAGAGCGAGAGAACTGTGGTATATTCTGTTATAACCATGTCTGAGAGAGTAACCTCAGTGTGTGAACAGTGAATCTGAACTGCTCTCTGTCGCCCCCTACAGGTGTGTTCCAGACAGCCAGAGGTCCTTTGGACTGGGGATCCAGTGGATCGTGGTGCGAAGTCTAGGTATTTCATGCTGTTGCTGAATTTGATTTGATAAATGTGGCCTTGTAGCCTGAGAGTCCCAACAACAAGCATTATATAATGTGATATGTTCTTCCTGAAGGTGGCATCCCAGGCCCGATAGCGTTTGGCTCTGTTATCGACATCTCATGCCTGCTGTGGCAGGACCAGTGTGGAGAGCAGGGTTCCTGCTACCTCTACCAGAACTCTGCCATGAGCCGTTATACACTCATGGCTGGCATCATCTACAAGGTAACTCAAGGCCTACATACTGTCTGGACTGTTGTAGAATTCTGTTATAGGACTTTCTTTATACTCGTGACCATATCAAATGTTTGTTTAACTGAGAGAGAATTCTATTCTCCCTCCTGTAACCATAGTGCATGTCTCAATCTCTATAACCTCCTGTAACCATAGTGCATGTCTCATTCTCTAAACCCTCCTGTAACCATAGTGCATGTCTCATTCTCTATAACCTCCTGTAACCATAGTGCATGGCTCAATCTCTATAACCTCCTGTAACCATAGTGCATGTCTCATTCTCTAGACCCTCCTGTAACCATAGTGCATGTCTCATTCTCTATAACCTCCTGTAACCATAGTGTATGTCTCATTCTCTAGACCCTCCTGTAACCATAGTGTATGTCTCATTCTCTAGACCCTCCTGTAACCATAGTGCATGTCTCATTCTCTAGACCCTCCTGTAACCATAGTGCATGTCTCATTCTCTAGACCCTCCTGTAACCATAGTGCATGTCTCATTCTCTAGACCCTCCTGTAACCATAGTGTATGTCTCATTCTCTATAACCTCCTGTAACCATAGTGCATGTCTCATTCTCTATAACCTCCTGTAACCATAGTGCATGTGTCATTCTCTATAACCTCCTGTAACCATAGTGCATGTCTCATTCTCTAGACCCTCCTGTAACCATAGTGCATGTCTCATTCTCTAGACCCTCCTGTAACCATAGTGCATGTCTCAATCTCTATAACCTCCTGTAACCATAGTGCATGTCTCATTCTCTAGACCCTCATGTAACCATAGTGCATGTCTCATTCTCTATAACCTCCTGTAACCATAGTGTATGTCTCATTCTCTAAACCCTCCTGTAACCATAGTGCAAGTCTCATTCTCTAGACCCTCCTGTAACCATAGTGCATGTCTCATTCTCTAGACCCTCCTGTAACCATAGTGCATGTATCATTCTCTAGACCCTCCTGTAACCATAGTGCATGTCTCATTCTCTAGACCCTCCTGTAACCATAGTGCATGTCTCATTCTCTAGACCCTCCTGTAACCATAGTGCATGTCTCATTCTCTAGACCCTCCTGTAACCATAGTGCATGTCTCATTCTCTATAACCTCCTGTAACCATAGTGCATGTCTCATTCTCTAGACCCTCCTGTAACCATAGTGCATGTCTCATTCTCTATAACCTCCTGTAACCATAGTGCATGTCTCATTCTCTAGACCCTCCTGTAACCATAGTGCATGTCTCATTCTCTAGACCCTCCTGTAACCATAGTGCATGTCTCATTCTCTATAACCTCCTGTAACCATAGTGCATGTCTCAATCTCTATAACCTCCTGTAACCATAGTGCATGTCTCATTCTCTATAACCTCCTGTAACCATAGTGTATGTCTCATTCTCTAGACCCTCATGTAACCATAGTGCATGTCTCATTCTCTATAACCTCCTGTAACCATAGTGCATGTCTCATTCTCTAGACCCTCCTGTAACCATAGTGCATGTCTCATTCTCTAGACCCTCCTGTAACCATAGTGCATGTCTCATTCTCTAGACCCTCCTGTAACCATAGTGCATGTCTCATTCTCTAGACCCTCCTGTAACCATAGTGCATGTCTCATTCTCTAGACCCTCCTGTAACCATAGTGCATGTCTCATTCTCTAGACCCTCCTGTAACCATAGTGCATGTCTCATTCTCTATAACCTCCTGTAACCATAGTGCACGTCTCATTCTCTAGACCCTCCTGTAACCATAGTGCATGTCTCATTCTCTATAACCTCCTGTAACCATAGTGCATGTCTCATTCTCTAGACCCTCCTGTAATCATAGTGCATGTCTCATTCTCTATAACCTCCTGTAACCATAGTACATGTCTCATTCTCTAGACCCTCCTGTAACCATAGTGCATGTCTCATTCTCTATAACCTCCTGTAACCATAGTGCATGTCTCATTCTCTCGACCCTCCTGTAACCATAGTGCATGTCTCATTCTCTATAACCTCCTGTAACCATAGTGCATGTCTCATTCTCTCGACCCTCCTGTAACCATAGTGCATGTCTCATTCTCTCGACCCTCCTGTAACCATAGTGCATGTCTCATTCTCTATAACCTCCTGTAACCATAGTGCATGTCTCATTCTCTAGACCCTCCTGTAACCATAGTGCATGTCTCATTCTCTAGACCCTCCTGTAACCATAGTGCATGTCTCATTCTCTATAACCTCCTGTAACCATAGTGCATGTCTCAATCTCTATAACCTCCTGTAACCATAGTGCATGTCTCATTCTCTATAACCTCCTGTAACCATAGTGTATGTCTCATTCTCTAGACCCTCATGTAACCATAGTGCATGTCTCATTCTCTATAACCTCCTGTAACCATAGTGCATGTCTCATTCTCTAGACCCTCCTGTAACCATAGTGCATGTCTCATTCTCTAGACCCTCCTGTAACCATAGTGCATGTCTCATTCTCTAGACCCTCCTGTAACCATAGTGCATGTCTCATTCTCTAGACCCTCCTGTAACCATAGTGCATGTCTCATTCTCTAGACCCTCCTGTAACCATAGTGCATGTCTCATTCTCTAGACCCTCCTGTAACCATAGTGCATGTCTCATTCTCTATAACCTCCTGTAACCATAGTGCACGTCTCATTCTCTAGACCCTCCTGTAACCATAGTGCATGTCTCATTCTCTATAACCTCCTGTAACCATAGTGCATGTCTCATTCTCTAGACCCTCCTGTAATCATAGTGCATGTCTCATTCTCTATAACCTCCTGTAACCATAGTACATGTCTCATTCTCTAGACCCTCCTGTAACCATAGTGCATGTCTCATTCTCTATAACCTCCTGTAACCATAGTGCATGTCTCATTCTCTCGACCCTCCTGTAACCATAGTGCATGTCTCATTCTCTATAACCTCCTGTAACCATAGTGCATGTCTCATTCTCTCGACCCTCCTGTAACCATAGTGCATGTCTCATTCTCTCGACCCTCCTGTAACCATAGTGCATGTCTCATTCTCTATAACCTCCTGTAACCATAGTGCATGTCTCATTCTCTAGACCCTCCTGTAACCATAGTGCATGTCTCATTCTCTAGACCCTCCTGTAACCATAGTGCATGTCTCATTCTCTATAACCTCCTGTAACCATAGTGCATGTCTCATTCTCTATAATCTCCTTCTGTCAGGTTCTTGGCACAATGTTCTTCCTGCTGGCCAGCGTTCTGTACAAGCCCCCTCCAGAGTCGCCCCAGAGCAGCTGTGAGAGCACCGACCATGGGGCAGGAGACACCGGGGGAGATACGGGAGAGCTCTCCGTCAAGGACCTTCCACCAAAAATCATCGCCAATGTACACGCCAGGTTATGATGACTTCAGACCCAACCCACATCTCACTGCGCGTGTGTGTCGTGCCACTGCTTCCTCAACCACTGCCAGCCTGTGCCGGTCTCATAGCCACTCCCAACACACAGACACATCACCCCAGGGCAGGGCATGTCTAATCCACCTACTGACCCCAACTTCACCCCATGGGCATGCCCTCCATCATGTCCCTGCCAGCCCACTGAACTTGGGGTTTGTGTGATATGATGAAAGACTTAGACCAGGGTCACAGATAGGGTCAGAGGTTATTCTGAGGAGTAGGAAAGACTTAGACCAGGGTCACAGATAGGGTCAGAGGTTATTCTGAGGAGTAGGAAAGACTTAGACCAGGGTCACAGATAGGGTCAGAGGTTATTCTGAGGAGTAGGAAAGACTTAGACCAGGGTCACAAATAGGGTCAGAGGTTATTCTGAGGAGTAGGAAAGACTTAGACCAGGGTCACAGATAGGGTCAGAGGTTATTCTGAGGAGTAGGAAAGACTTAGACCAGAGTCACAGATAGGGTCAGAGGTTATTCTGAGGAGTAGGAAAGACTTAGACCAGGGTCACAGATAGGGTCAGAGGTTATTCTGAGGAGTAGGACAGACTTAGACCAGGGTCACAGATAGGGTCAGAGGTTATTCTGAGGAGTAGGAAATACTTAGACCAGGGTCACAAATAGGGTCAGAGGTTATTCTGAGGAGTAGGAAAGACTTAGACCAGGGTCACAGATAGAGTCAGAGGTTATTCTGAGAAGTAGGAAAGACTTAGCCTAGGGTCACAAATAGGGTCAGAGGTTATTCTGAGGAGTAGGAAAGACTTAGACCAGAGTCACAGATAGGGTCAGAGGTTATTCTGAGGAGTAGGAAAGACTTAGACCAGGGTCACAGATAGAGTCAGAGGTTATTCTGAGGAGTAGGAAAGACTTAGACCAGAGTCACAGATAGAGTCAGAGGTTATTCTGAGAAGTAGGAAAGACTTAGACCAGAGTCACAGATAGGGTCAGAGGTTATTCTGAGGAGTAGGAAAGACCAGGGTCACAGATAGAGTCAGAGGTTATTCTGAGGAGTAGGACAGACTTAGACCAGGGTCACAGATAGGGTCAGAGGTTATTCTGAGGAGTAGGAAAGACTTAGACCAGAGTCACAGATAGGGTCAGAGGTTATTCTGAGGAGTAGGAAAGACTTAGACCAGGGTCACAAATAGGGTCAGAGGTTATTCTGAGGAGTAGGAAAGACTTAGACCAGGGTCACAGATAGGGTCAGAGGTTATTCTGAGAAGTAGGAAAGACTTAGACCAGGGTCACAAATAGGGTCAGAGGTTATTCTGAGGAGTAGGAAAGACTTAGACCAGGGTCACAGATAGGGTCAGAGGTTATTCTGAGAAGTAGGAAAGACTTAGACCAGGGTCACAAATAGGGTCAGAGGTTATTCTGAGGAGTAGGAAAGACTTAGACGAGGGTCACAGATAGAGTCAGGGGTTATTCTGAGGAGTAGGAAAGACTTAGACCAGGGTCACAGATAGGGTCAGAGGTTATTCTGAGGAGTAGGAAAGAAGTGTCTCCTGATGACTTTTGGGATTTAAACCACTGAAAATACACACTTTATGGGCTCTAGTAAATCTGGATCACTGAAGCGTTACAGATTGCACGATGGAAATGTAAAGATAATTTCCGATTGAGACGACATATTGCAGCGTTTACCGTGAATGCAGTCTACGCTAAAGAGGGAACATTACATTTAAATTTCAATCACGCTGTAACGCTGAACTTCCACGATACGGATTGAATAGAAGCCTTAAATGAGGTTTAAAATGTAAAGTAAAGTAGAATGAAAAAGGATTGTAGGTTTTGTTTTGTTTCCCGGTCATGTCTAAATTATGTGACATGGGGCAGTATCTATAGTATGGGACATGGGGCAGTATCTATAGTCAATCAATCAATCAATCAAATGTATTTATAAAGCCCATTTTACATCAGCAGATGTCACAAAGTGCTATACAGAAACCCAGTCTAAAACCCCAAACAGCAAGCAATGCAGATGTAGAAGCACAGTGGCTAGGAAAAACTCCCTAGAAAGGCAGGAACCTAGGAAGAAACCTAGAGAGGAACCAGGCTCTGAGGGGTGGCCAGTCCCCTTCTGGCTGTGCCGGGTGGAGATTATAACAGTACATGGGCATTTAAGTATCTATAGTATAGGACGTGGGGCAGTATCTATAGTGTAGGACATGGGGCAGTATCTATAGTGTAGGACATGGGGCAGTATCTATAGTATAGGACATGGGGCAGTATCTATAGTATAGGACATGGGGCAGTATCTATAGTATAGGACATGGGGCAGTATCTATAGTATAGGACGTGGGGCAGTATCTATAGTATAGGACATGGGGCAGTATCTATAGTATAGGACATGGGGAAGTATCTATAGTATGGGACATGGGGCAGTATCTATAGTGTAGGACATGGGGCAGTATCTATAGTATAGGACATGGGGCAGTATCTATAGTATAGGACATGGGGCAGTATCTATAGTATAGGACATGGGGCAGTATCTATAGTGTAGGACATGGGGCAGTATCTATAGTGTAGGACATGGGGCAGTATCTATAGTATAGGACATGGGGCAGTATCTATAGTGTAGGACATGGGGCAGTATCTATAGTATAGGACACGGGGCAGTATCTATAGTATAGGACATGGGGCAGTATCTATAGTGTAGGACATGGGGCAGTATCTATAGTGTAGGACATGGGGCAGTATCTATAGTATAGGACATGGGGCAGTATCTATAGTGTAGGACATGGGGCAGTATCTATAGTGTAGGACATGGGGCAGTATCTATAGTATAGGACATGGGGCAGTATCTATAGTATAGGACATGGGGCAGTATCTATAGTATAGGACATGGGGCAGTATCTATAGTATAGGACATGGGGCAGTATCTATAGTATAGGACATGGGGCAGTATCTATAGTATAGAACATGGGGCAGTATCTATAGTATAGGACATGGGGCAGTATCTATAGTATAGGACACGGGGCAGTATCTATAGTATAGGACGTGGGGCAGTATCTATAGTATAGGACATGGGGCAGTATCTATAGTATAGGACATGGGGCAGTATCTATAGTATAGGACATGGGGCAGGATCTATAGTATAGGACATGGGGCAGTATCTATAGTATGGGACATGGGGCAGTATCTATAGTATAGGACATGGGGCAGTATCTATAGTATAGGACATGGGGCAGTATCTATAGTATGTGACATGGGGCAGTATCTATAGTATAGGACATGAGGCAGTATCTATAGTATAGGACATGGGGCAGTATCTATAGTATAGGACACGGGGCAGTATCTATAGTATAGGACATGGGGCAGTATCTATAGCATAGGACATAGGGCAGTATCTATAGTATAGGACATGGGGCAGTATCTATAGTATAGGACATGGGGCAGTATCTATAGTATAGGACATGGGGCAGTATCTATAGTGTAGGACATGGGGCAGTATCTATAGTATAGGACATGGGGCAGTATCTATAGTATAGGACATGGGGCAGTATCTATAGTATAGGACATGGGGCAGTATCTATAGTATAGGACATGGGGCAGTATCTATAGTATAGGACGTGGGGCAGTATCTATAGTATAGGACATGGGGCAGTATCTATAGTATAGGACGTGGGGCAGTATCTATAGTATAGGACATGGGGCAGTATCTATAGTGTATGTCATGCCATCAGTATGAAGCGTTCCTTATATTGAGGGATGAAAGAGGTATTTAACACCCGTAAAACAACCCTGTTGTCTAGCCCTAACACAGATACAGCAGATCTTTATTTGGTCCACACTGAAGCCACTATTCAAATACACAGGAAAAAAAACATATTTTTCATGTCATAATATAAACTAATAACCACAAGTATTTGTCCACGTGTCCTTCAACTAGACAGATCCATGGGACGATGTCATCCTGTCCACGTGTCCTTCAACTAGATCAGCACTGATGAACTTAGACAATGGAATTATATAAGAGCTATTCTGGCAGCGTATGCTGGTTGTAGTGAACTGCTGGGGACAATGCACAACATAGATGAGTTGCAGTATAAACAAAAGACAACAGGCTTCTTACATTTTACATTTTAGTCATTTAGTAGACGCTCTTATCCAGAGCCACTTACAGTTAGTGAGTGCATACATTTTTTCATACTGGCCCCCAAGTGTGTCAAAGTACCATTGCCCCAATCCATTTTCTGTTTTGTGATCTTATTTTTTCCAGATAATTTATGATAGAAATTAACAGCACTGTTTGTTCATATATTCATTTAATTTGATTGTTTTCACATTATTTGATATTGTCCCAGACATCTTTGTATATGAAGTAGAGGATGTAGCTGATGATTCAGAAGGAGTTTTCCCAGACCAAACAATCCCCCTAAAACTACCCTGTTCTAGAACGTTTTACAATATAGTTTTTGTCTTTATTTTTTATGTAACAGTGATATGACACTTTAGAACTCGTTGGCAATTTACATTCCTCATGTTTTTATTGTTTTTAATCTATTCCGTTTTCTATGCCTCCAAACCTGCTCTCCTCCGTTCTCCGACCTGATCCCTCCATTGGCTTGACCGCCATGTGGAAGTGTGTGTAACAGTAAACCTTCCTAGTCTTACTGTTATGTCTCCTCACTGCCTAGCACTTCTGTAAATGTAGTCTCATGGGTTTTGTTTTGCTACGTTTGTAAATGAAATGGAAACGTATATGACTTTTATTGAAATGTTTCTTAAGATGTTTTTTTAAAGCAACAGGTGAAAAACGCTATTATTTGTTTTGTTTAGAATTTTTTATTACCATTTCAAATCATTGCATGTCTGCCCACTTCAAATTCTCTTGCATGTACCACATATACACACATAACCCAGCAAATTATATATGTCTTCTCTCACTCCCTGTATCTCTCTCTTCCTCAAACACACACATGCATGGACACACACAAACACACTCTCTCATCCTCTTACTCTCCCAGCAGAAACAACAACTCTATTACCTCTCCATTACCTCCTGACACTTCAAAGACAGTCAGAGCCTCAAATATTGAAGCTTTTTCAATTCCAGGGGATTTAATTAATGTGACTGAAACAAGGATTTTTCCCTAGCTCAAATCACAGACACCGATACAGCGACCATTGGGCCAAACACATTGATGCATTTAATAGCCACCCGGGGCTCTTCATAAAGCAGTACTGAATAACTAAGCAAGGTCACAGAAGTAAAATACAAACTATGTGGGAGATAGGATTGTGGGACAAAGGATCAGTTTCCATGGATACTGTTGAGTCATGACTCAGTCTCTCTTGTCGGGTCTGTTTGGAGACATTACATTTATGACTCTTGGCAGATACACTCAGGGACACATTAAAGAACATGAAATACACCTACACGATCAAATACACATACGTTCAGAGAATCAAACACAATATTTCAAACATTCTGTATGGAAACCCATCATATTGTACAGACAGCGGAGACAAGGACCTTGCAAATGAAATAGACACATTCATATATAGACAGAGTTGAGATTGCATACGTAAGTAACATTGAACAGACCGAAACAACAGTGGATGGCGTGACCATAATGATACATTTAAGAAAATCACTGTACACGTTCATTCAAACTAGACATTTGAAACTTGTATTCCTCGCTCTCTTTTCCCCTCTTTCTTAGACTCAGGAATAAACAACTTGTCGTCTAAGTTGTCACACAGAGTCTGCTGGTCGGTTAGAAAGATACAAAACAAAAAAGAGTCCCAGGTCTAGGTGGAAGGAGGGGTCAAACCGTAGCCCTCTTCTCCTGCAACCTGTGAGGCCCACCGTCCAACCGTTCCAACGTCAGTCTGAGAATATTATTACCATGGAGCTGTCTCCTAATGATGAAGGAAGGTTGCAGGGCTGAGGTGTGCTGCGGCACCAGTGAGAGCCATTGGCCAATGCCTCTCATCGATTCAGCTATGCCATACCCCCAGTCAGGAGACATTGATCTGAACACCTTGGATTATGTGCTGCTCTGCTTTGCTATGGAGACGGACCACAACACAGTGCCTTCAAGAGCTGAGGGGGAGTCAAGACCGATAGGTTTACTGTGTGTGTGCGTGTGTCTGTGTGTGTGTGTGCGTGCGTGCGTGTGTCTGTGTGTGTGTGTCTGTGTGTGCGTGTGTGCATGTGTGTGTGTGTGCGCGTGTGTGTCTGTGTGTGTGTGTGTCTGTGTGCGTGCGTGCGTCTGTGTGTGTGTGTGTACTGTAAGTGTGGTTGTGTTTAGAGGAAATGAATGCATGAGGAGGCCAGGTACAGTATGTGACTGTGTTTTAATGTGCCTTCATTCTATCATCCTCTACTGCTGTTGTGTTGAATGTTGAATGAAGAAGAAAAACACAAGAGAATCAACGGAGTGATGCTTTGTTGCATTAACATGTATTGAGTTTGCACTGCAATATGTATTATGTACATTTCTGTAAATATGAATTATGTGCGTTCACCTTTTTTGTGATTTACCAATGCATTTACCTTATCCAATTTTGTTGGAAGTTAATTTCAATCAGCTTCATGCTTACTGTATGTGTCCTCATGTACTGTGAAAATGTGCAATGAATTACTTTCCGACCAACATGTGTAGTAAGTATAACGTTGCAGACCCACGCGTCAATGTGAATGAAAACTATTCAAGCTCAGGCTCAATGGTTTTGAGTTGTTTCCCATAGTGACAGTAAAGTAAAACTCTACGATATTTTGGTATTTATTTCATTAGTCCATTGTTGATATAGTCCCAAAATATTTTGCATGTCAGCAATCAAGTTTCCAATATAGAATTCAGAATATAGAAATGCAGCCAGTATGATGCACGCTGCACCGTATAATACAAAATTAATCATACCGGCTGTATTTCTGTATTTTGAAAGATATGTATCTTGAAAACTTGATTGCTGACATGCAAAACATTTTGGGACTATATCAACAATGGACTAATGAAATAAATACCCCAACATTTTTTTTCATCATTCAGCTGTACTTACTGTCAGCAGCCAGATACACAGATATGCTGTGTAACAAAATATTCCTTAGGTCAACAGTTGACCCTAAAGCAAAGGCAACAATTTCCCAAATGACAGATAATTGTGGCACTATTGTGAGACCAGAGTCACTGAGACCAACATCTGAAATAGTAACAGGAGTATTAAGGGTGGATTCATCCACCCTTACCCTTTACATACAGTATTCATCCACCCTTCCCCTTTACAGACAGTATTCATCCACCCTTCCCCTTTACAGACAGTATTCATCTACCCTTCCCCTTTACAGACAGTATTCATCCACCCTTCCCCATTACAGACAGTATTCATCCACCCTTCCCCATTACAGACAGTATTCATCCACCCTTCCACTTTACATACAGTATTCATCCACCCTTCCCCTTTACAGACAGTATTCATCTACCCTTCCCCTTTACAGACAGTATTCATCCACCCTTCCCCATTACAGACAGTATTCATCTACCCTTCCCCTTTACAGACAGTATTCATCCACCCTTTCACTTTACAGACAGTTTTCATCCACCCTTTCACATTACAGACAGTATTCATCTACCTTCCCCTTTACATACAGTATTCATCCACCCTTCCCCATTACAGACAGTATTCATCCATCTTTCCCCATTACAGACAGTATTCAATCACCCTTCCCCTTTACAGACAATATTCATCCACCCTTCCCCTTAACAGACAGTATTCATCCACCCTTCCCCATTACAGACAGTATTCATCTACCCTTCCCCTTTACATACAGTATTCATCCACCCTTTCACTTTACAGACAGTTTTCATCCACCCTTTCACATTACAGACAGTATTCATCTACCTTTCCCCTTTACAGACAGTATTCATCCACCCTTCCCCTTTACAGACAGTATTCATCCACCCTTCCCCTTTACAGACAGTATTCATCCACCCTTCCCCTTTACAGACAGTATTCATCCACCCTTCCCCTTTACATACAGTATTCATCCACCCTTTCACTTTACAGACAGTTTTCATCCACCGTTTCACATTACAGACAGTATTCATCTACCTTTCTCTTTACATACAGTATTCATCCACCCTTCCCCATTACAGACAGTATTCATCCATCCTTCCCCATTACAGACAGTTTTCAATCACCCTTCCCCTTTACAGACAGTATTCATCTACCCGTCCCCTTTACAGACAGTATTCATCCACCCTTCCCCTTTACAGACAGTATTCATCCACCCTTCCCCTTTACAGACAGTATTCATCCACCCTTCCCCTTTACAGACAGTATTCATCTACCCTTCCTCATTACAGAAAGTATTCATCTACCCTTCCCCGTTACAGACAGTATTCATCCACCCTTCCCCTTTACAGACAGTATTCATCCACCCTTCCCCTTTACAGACAGTATTCATCTACCCTTCCCCGTTACAGACAGTATTCATCCACCCTTCCCCGTTACAGACAGTATTCATCCACCTTTCCCCTTTACAGACAGTATTAATCCACCCTTCCCCTTTACAATCAATCAATCAATCAATTTTATTTTATATAGCCCTTCTTACATCAGCTAATATCTCGAAGTGCTGTACAGAAACCCAGCCTAAAACCCCAAACAGCTAGTAATGCAGGTGTAGAAGCACGGTGGCTAGGAAAAACTCCCTAGAAAGGCGAAAACCTAGGAAGAAACCTAGAGAGGAACCAGGCTATGAGGGGTGGCCAGTCCTCTTCTGGCTGGAGATTATAACAGAACCATGCAAAGATGTTCAAAAATGTTCATAAGTGACAAGCATGGTCAAATAATAATCAGGAATAAATCTCAGTTGGCTTTTCATAGTCCCGACGTATGGTCCTAGGGCTCAGGTCTCTCAGTTGGCTTTTCATAGCCGATCATTAAGAGTTGAAAACAGCAGGTCTGGACAGGTAGGGGTTTCGTAA